GGGCCATGTGTCCAACAAATATCACCTGAAGAAGACTGTACTGTACAATGGCTGAAACGTCGTGAATGTGACAATAAAAATGAGGACAACAGTCCAAATAATATAAATAGTTGCAATACCTCTGTACATATGAAAATACTTCATTTAAAATTATTACTACTCTTTTATAAAACAACGCAGTTTCACAATGACTGCAAATGATAATGGAGAAACTAGCCGTATCCTTACAAGGAAACACTCAGAATTCATTGAGCCAACACTTACCGAAAATTATGAAATTACTAGCAGCCATACGTAGCTAGTTGATCAGAAAAAAGCGTTCAATTAGAATGGAGCAAAAACAGCATCATGTTTAGATGTAAAAGTGTCTATCTTCTTCAATTACTTTAAAGTACTTTCATTAAAAACATTTTCAATTAATGCAGTTACTAATATAACAGAAGTAGTCTGTATTTATTCAATCAAAGTTAGCCGAGGACATGAAGGGGTAAAACAGGCAACATGAAAATCCACTTTAGACCCCAATTATTTTGGAGATTTTTAAATTCAACTTTTCAATGTGATACCAGGGATGTAAAAGAGGATACATTTATAAAGCAATTGTTAAGTTTGATGGAAATTGGTTGAAAGATCAACGAAAAATAAGAAAGAAACCAGTAAAAATTGCCATTTTTTGCTATTTACGCGGGTTTCACTATATGGGTGGACTCAATTATCAAGTTAAATGACTGTTAAGCAATCAACTTATTGTTGGCTACAACTGAGTGAAGTTTGAGGCGATGAATTTATGTTAAAGACTAGCAGCCAAACCCAGCTAGTCGATCAGAAAAAGCGTTCAATTAAAATGGAGCAAAAACAGCATCATGTTTAGATGTAATAGAGTCTATCTTCTTCAATTACTTTAAAGTATTTTCATTAAAAAAACATTTTGAATTAATGCAGTTACTGATATAACAGAATATTCAAGAAATCTTATTAAAGAAATGTATTCCCTCTAAGACAGGATTCGAACCCATGTCCTCCTGGTATATTTTTCGTTGAGATTTCTCGAATCTTCAGGCCGGTAGACGAAAATAGATAAATATCAGTCAGTTATGCGCCATGCTTGATACACGCTTAGGCGATCATATATCTTTCGACACATGACTGACGAGGCAGATTTTTTCCCGCGGCAGGTTGGCATTTCTTTCTGCAGTTGACCATTTGCAATCCAAGGCTATAGAACTCTGTCTACCCTACAATTTACCCATAGATTCGGGGGGAAGAAAAGTATTTATACCAAGGGTATTAGCACGTAAGTGAATGTAATGGATTCGACTGGAATTCGAACTCGGCTCTCCGATTCCTCAATTCGAGCTGCTATCCATTACTCCACCGTGCCTCCGATAAATATACTGTTTAATAAATAAACAGGGCGTCTATTCAAATATGAGTA